AATGCCAGTAGCCGTTGTAGCCCAAATGGGGTTCTGCATGCGATCAATCATCGAATCAAACATTCGTAGCCAAGCGAGAACACGAGAAGAGAAGACAAACACGGCATACCGTACGATCAAGCATGTGTGCCCACTTGCCGTCAAGCACTTCGTTCCAGCGCTGCGTTCAGGTTTGAATCGTCGTACATCAGAGCGACCGACTCGCGAATGACATCGTTGGCCGAGTTGCGCTTCTGTCCGGCGTAGAGCTGGTTCTTGGCGCCGTTGATCTGGATCTTGTACACAATCTCGGCGCCGAGCACGGGGTGCAGCAGCATCTGGAAAAAGGCGGGCTGGTACGCCTCGTCGAGCTCGTCGTAGACGGCCTGCGTGTCCTCGCGCAGGGCCGCCCACTGCTCCAGCACGGCCTCGGCCTCGTGGTAGTTGATGACCGAGTAGATCTGCGGCTCGACGAGCTCGTACTTGCGGCGCGCCGCGTACATGCCGTAGCGTGTCAAAATGTCCGTGATGGCGTCCGTGTGTGTGCCGCCAAAGTCGCGCTCGACCCAGGCCCGGACCCAGTCGGTCGTGCCGTCGGCGCCCCAGCGGTCAATGTCGTAGGCAATGTCGAAGAAGTGGCTGATGGGGATCTCCTTGGGCTTGAGGTCGCCGACGTTGACGATCCAGATCTTGCGCGCGTGCCGCGCGTACGACAGGTACATCTGCGAGGCCGTCTTCTCGAGCTGGATCGTGTTGATCCACTTGTAGTTGCGCGGGTCCCCGACATAGTCAAAGTGGTAGTACACACCAGCACCGCCGGATCGGTCCGTCTCGTTGGCGAGCGGCAGCCTGCGGACGTTCCCCCAGTTGTCGTCGGCCCACAGCAGCGTGATGTCCTCGGGCACGACGAGTCCCCTCTCCTGATACGATTGGACCTCCTTGTACAGGCACCAGAGCGAGTCGACTTCGGCCGCCGACTCGATCTCGAGCCCTTCTTCAATGATCGACCGCTGGTTGTCGACCAGCGTCTCGAGCATGCTCACGATGCCGTCGATGCCGAGGTTGCCCTCGATGGCCGTGTCGCCCGTGCCGCGCATCGCCATGGTCCAGACGCTGTTGCGCGCATAGGGCTTGGCACGCTCGACGCCGTAGCGGAAGTACTCGTCAATCGTCTCATTGTTTTCGGTGTACTGCCACGGGCCCTCGTAGAAGGTGCGGAACTCGTTCTGCGCCCGCATCATGGGCTCCGTGTGGGAGCCTCCGAGGACAATCTCAAAAGCATCGAGCAGGGGCTGGTTGTAGGGATCGTCAATGTACACCATGCTGCCCCAGACCGTGGGCCAGAGGTAGTTTGCCCGCAGCCGGAGCAGAACCTCGCCGATAAGCGCGTAAAAGTGGCGGTTGTACGGCGCCGCATCGTTCCAGGTGTCATTCCACTGCGTGCTGTATCAGATCAGTATGGGGGCAGGACTTCAATTTTTGCAGTTGGGAATGGCGGACTTACCTCACCCAGCTGGACAGTCCAGGCTGTTCGTCGTTGAGGAAGAAGCCGCGATACTTGACGGACGGCGTCTTCTGGACCTTGCGCTCGGACAGAGCATAGATGTTCTCCCGCTGGCGGGTAGGGACATCGGCCCAGAAGTACCATGGGCTGACGCCGATTTGCTCGCTGACGTCGTAAATGCCGTAAATAGTGCCGCGAGGGTCGCTGCCAGCGATGACCAGAGCCTGAGCGACGCCCTCGATAGGGTTCTCAACGAGCTGGCTGACGAAGGCTTCCCACTCGCCCTCGACCTCACCGACGTCAATGAGGCCAGACTCGATGAGCTGATCGATAATCTCCGAGTGGCCGATGGTGCCGGCAATGATGACAGTGCTGCCTGCATCAGGGTCGGAGTATTCGGGACCTGAAAGCGACTCCTCAGCTGTTGTGCTAAACTAGAAAGCCGTCAGACACGAGTTTCTTGGAGGCAGAATATCAAGGTCCACCTACGTGAGTGTTGTTTGTGACGTCGACAGGAGCAAAGGTATATGCCGCAGGTTGGGCTCCGCTCTCGCCATTGCTCAACGTGTAGTTCGTTCCCGTCACGCGGCCAAAGTCAGCCGCAAGGTCGCCGGCAGCACGGATGACGCCCCAGTATTCATTGGCGGACACGCGGATCTGACCACCTCCCACGTCACCACCGGCAATCTGGAAGCTCCCCTCAGCGCTCTCAAAGGCGACGATGGGCGACTGGCCGAGAGCAGAGACCAGCGGCAATAGACTCGTAAGTGCCGCGATCGACCATGACTTGACGCTGGAGACGGCCATGGCGGTCTGTAGCCTGCTGGCTCGGCTTTGGTTGGTGCTCCAGGTGATGATTGGTGAGAACGCGCCTCCTGACTTGCGATGGGAGACCCTGATCGGCGGTTTTGTCACTCGTGGGGAGCCAGTAGGACAAAGAGAGGCGAGGAGCGTCACGTCTACTTATGTGAGTGCGTCAACCATTGCAAAAGCACCCAGGAACCAGGGCCGAAGCTCAGGACGCAGGACGCCGTAGTACCACGTCCGTAGCAGGTCACGTCCATCCAGTGACCAGTCTGATCCTTTCCTTCGTAGCGGAGCAGGCCATCCACAATGAGGCAAAATAGATGACCAGGCATGGCAGCGTCGTATCGTTGCCTGCCAAGGGTTGGCTTCTTTCCATTTTCGCGGCAACAGAGCGGGCTCCGAGGACAACACCAGCCTCCAGTCCTCCTACAGAACCAATAAAGGCAAGCACTGGCCTTTCAGGCACAACATTCGTCATTGGGGCTGCAAGGCTAATGGACCATCACTCTAGCCGAATGGACGGATAAATGGCGTCTGGGAACCAAAGACCGAGTTCTTGGCCGAGAATAGCGAGGGGTATGGACAAGGCTTTGCAGGGCTCGGTAAAAATGAGGCCTGTCTTTGGGGGGAGGGGAGACAAGGGGAGGTTGGCGCCGGGTTTGCTGTGTTACTGTAGCTGTGGCCTGACGTCTTGTTCGTTGGTTTTTCCCCGCATGGGCCGCATGGGGAAGATCGGAAATCGGATGTGGCGGAGAAGTACCGGCACGGGCTTGGCAACAAACCCGATGTTGCGGCTTCGGCAGCCGTGTCGTTGGGTCTGGATTCATTCTGGGTCCTCCGGCCGGCACGCAACGACGAAGTACTTTGGTTGATGTTGCGCAATCACCTTGCTTGTCAACTTGAAATGACACGTTCAAAGCAATTGAGATCATGCCAGGAGCATGGCAGGGTACATTTGATGTTTCAGCCTTTACAATGCAATCCCCACAACGGAGTAGTATCGTCTGGTCGTCTGCACAGCTTTGTCCAGGTTTCTCCAAGTCTGGTTCGGGCCCGACAACAACCTAGTTGGAGATGGATTGACGATCTGCGGGCCAACAAAGTCGCAATGCGGGGGAAAGGTTGCATGTGGAGATGGACTGCGCGCATTTAGCCGTGGGCTATAGCGGGATGATAACATGCACCACCCGTGGGCGGTCAATACGGTATTAGCCGGCGCTCCCGCCGGTGCTCTATGGGATGGTGACGACCAGGTTACAGTGTAGTATCTCGTATGGTGCCCATGAGCATCACTCTGCACTGATCCGTCTCGTCCACCTGGATGAGTCCCACCAAGTGGCGCATTATATCCGCGTAGGCATCGAAGACGTACAGCATGTCTGGGTCGCTGAAACTCCACGGGGGCGCGACATCACTGGGAAATGCGAGCAAATCGAGCAACATGATGTTCTTGTCGCGTGACTCCACACACCTATCCTCCAGGTCCTCGTCCTACAGGTCGATCTCGAGGCGGCTGTCAATCAGCGCAATCGTGAGCGAGGCGTCAATCGCGTCGAAGGGTTCGCGACACTCGTCAATGATTTCGTACAAGAGATGGGTAAGCTCCGGAACAGGGACGGCAAGATCCGGAACAGGGACGCCGATGAAGTGGTCGTAAAAGGTAGGGTAGTTGTCAGGATCCATGGCAATGCCAATGGTTGACCCCTGGCCGATGTAAGGCCTTGCACTCACCAGGTACTGGACGGCGTTAACCCAGGTCCCATACGGAAGGCGGTGTTGTGACCGGAGAACTATGAAGTCGTTGGCGTCGAATTCGACAAAAGACTGGCGAAGAGGAGAGGTCTCGCCAAACAACGACGGCTCTCGGAAAGTGAAGAAGAGGAGGCTCCCGGGTGCGTATCTTGGGTTCGCGCGAACTCGTCGGAGATACCTCATCATGGTATGGCGCGACTCTCGACTTGCCGTCAGGACGCCACTGTCGTGCATGTAGAACGAGTCATTGTCGTTGAGCCAAGAGAGCTCGACATGGTCGAGGCCGGTGGCGTTAACTTGATATTGCATCGGGGCGTAGAGGCAAGCAGTTTGGTCCTCGTTGAGTTCGTAGCCATGCAATTCCGGTATCTCTTTATCCTGTTCGTTCGAGAGGGTAAAGAAGTGAACCAAGTTTCGATTCAGGGGCCGAATGGCAAACTCCTAGATGGTCTTTCGGAGTTCAATGGGGAGACGACGGAAGAGGTGAAACGTGTCGGTCGCCATATCGAGAGGGTGAGAAAGTATGGTATTCACTATGGTCTTCAAAGCTGATGATCTGTTTAAGGAAGCGGCGTGGATGCTGTTGGACGTCAATCGTATGTTGTTATGCTTTGTAAGTTGTTGTCTATTGTCAAAAGGCTCGCCAGAAGATCAGTACCTGGTAGACAGGCAGTAGGTATTCAGAAGAACCGGCATCGTGGTATGGGGCACTCTTGCCACAGGGCGCAATACTCTTACCCCAAGCAGTTCAGGTGCGGAAGCTGCACTCGAGCTGCATGTCACTTTCCCAACGTCATCTAGATGACAAAGCCGAGAGAAGGTGCAATCGAGAGAAAATATGGTCATCATGCCCTCGCCAATATGCTAGGCGACTTTTCTATGCCAAAAAGAAAATCTAGATCTATCAATGACGCTCCGGTCCCATATGCATGCAACACGATCATCATCATCATCACCCCTACAACTGCCTCACCCATCTACGCCTTGCAAAGAAAGTCCTCCACAGCCTGGGTAAACTGCACAGGGTCCTGCATGGGCGCAAAGTGGCTGACGCCCTTGAGAATCTGCAGCTTGCTGCCCTTGATGGCCTTGTGCAGCTGGGCCGGCGTGTCGAGGCTGATGGCCTCCTCGTGCTCGGCGCCGACGATGATGACGCGGCGCCCGTCAATGGTGCCGAGCTGCTCGTCGGTGAACTGCGGCAGCGTGGCCTCCATGGTGCCGACCTTTGTGGCAAAGGCCGTAAAGTCGGCGCCGGGCTGCAGCGCCGCGTACTCGGTGCGGCAGCGCGCCACAAACTCGGCAAAGATGGCCGTGTCGCTGAACGTGGCGTTGGTGCCCTCGGGGTTGGCGGCGCCGCCAAAGACGAACGCCTTGCGGATGGGCGCCGCCGTGACGGGGTTGATGAGCGCCGCGAGCGTCGTCATGGCGCCGTCCGACCAGCCGACGACGTCGTACTGCGGGACGCCGGCGTGCGCGAGCTGGTCGTGGATGTCGACGGCCATCTGGTCAAAGGTGAAGACGTCGCCGGCGTTGAACGTCGAGCGGCCGTGGCCGCGGCGGTCGACGGCGATGACGTAGTAGCCGTCGGCGACGAGCCGCGAGATGACGGACCCGAAGTACGCCGAGTAGCCCAGACCGCCGTGGTCCATCACAATGGGGATCGCGTTGGCCTTCTCGTTGTACTTTTGCATCCAGAGTTGGACGCCGTTGATCAGCGTCGTCGCCGTGCTGATGGGCGCCGGCAGCTCCGGCGTCGGCGGCAGCGTCGTCCAAGCAGGCGGATTCTGCCGGATGGCAAAGCTGTTGACGCCACTGCCGAACACGGCCACCGAAGCAATAAGCGAAGAGAAAATCATTTTGTAGTGCTGTCAGCGCTGGTGACAACAAGTCTGTGCAGGTGCCTGAACTTTTGAAACGAAGGATGCAGATCGTTGAAGGAAAAGAGAGTGACTTGTGAATGGGACGGTGATCAGAAAACAATGCCCTCAGGTCCTCGGCTTCACGACATGAATGTTCTTATTATTTCTTTGCCGCGAGATGAAGCTGTCCGTGCCGGCCCGGCCGCGACGTCGCGCGGGGGTAAAGCCAGGACGGGGCTCTGCTCAAGAGCAAGGGTCACGACTCGCAATAGTATAATAAAGTTCAATTAACGTACCCGCCCCCTACCTTCGGCTTCCATGCGTGTCCTCAGTTCTGCCTGATATTAGTACAGACCCTACAACTCGGTCTTTGGAATTTGTCCTGCGCCGGGAGGCCCGAGAAGATGCATTACCGGACAAGCCGCTGACATTACAGGTGCTGGTACCCTGGCCACCACGCAGCCCCTTCCCCTCTCTAGCCGGGGCACGACAGCAGACAAGGCACAGGCAGGGTGAATGATGCTTACATCAAAGACGCTCATCGTCAAGTCAATCAATTCGTTGGGTATCTCAGGCCCCTCCACGTTACCCCGCCAGCCAAAATGTCATATTACATAGCCCGACCGCGGGAGCCGCCCGTCTCCGATGAACGCCATCCCCACCACCGACGCCATGTCATGCCCGCTACCCCAGACAAGTGACTGCAGGAGATGCCAAACGCCAGTGTCTCTATCCAGCCTTTTTCGTAAACTCCGTACCAAACTCAATGATGATCGTGAATCAAGCAAGGTTTTCCAGTCATTGCCCTTAAATTCACACGCTCGCGTCAATGCTCTGACTGGTTGTCGTTCCATAGAAGCGTCGGCCACTGTCCTGCTGACGCAGCATTCATGCTGACCATGTCGGCTGGCACATGCGTCTCGCGTGGTACAGTTCCCATATTGAGGAGCGCGTTCGCGCCGTATCGTTCCTGGCTGGCAGACATGGCTGCTGCCCAGTCGCCCCAGTTGGTGCCTTGCGCAGTTGGCGCTGTTACGTGACGCCAAAGGTACTGGTCCACGGCCGGGGACTCGGGTTGGATCACTTGTTGCGTCGCCTGCGATGCGAAAGCCACTAGAGGATTGTGATTCGCCGTGGATATGCCACTGTTCATGATGGAAGTAGCACTTTCTGGTGTAGAGGCGGGATACAGGTAGCTGCTGTCGTACGACGACAACATTCCTGCCTGCGTTGTCGGTTCCGTATACGCGAGCTGGGAATATGCTGTGCCGCCGTTGTGGTTCGGATCATCGTAGTAGGCCTTCGCCATGGACGGCACAGTCTGTGTGGGCAGCACTGCCTGAGGGCCGGATGACGCGGGGAAAGAACCCTCTACAATTTCCTGTTTGATTTCTGGCATTGCAGCCAGTTGAGATTGAAGATGAGCATTCGCCTCCTCTTGCTGTTGTCTTTGTCGATGCTGCTGCCGCTGCTGCTGCTGTTGCTGCTGTTGCTGCCGGTCGTGTTCAATCCAGCGCAAAGTCGAGTCGACCTTGGCACTGAGTTGTTTGTAGATGTGTTCACCCGAGCCTGGTACATTAGTATCATGTCTCAATGACCTGGGAGCGGAGACATACCAAGAGCAACAGCAATAGAGTGAATGATGCTCAGCCAATCTGTCATGTCGCGCCGCAGTGTCGAGCTCTGCTCGTTCGGGTCAAAACGCCTTTCCCAGTGCGCCACGAGCGTTGTGAACATGGCTGCCGCGAAAATGGCAATCTGGTACCACGTCACGTCGAGACACTTGAGTTTGTGAAGGGCCTTTGCATGCTCTAGCATGCGGGCAGCTGTCTCCTCGCATATGTGTGAATTCTCGGCCAAAATCTTGCGGTCAGTCGTCATAGCCACCGAGGGGCTGCGAAGTGCCAGGCGGAGCTCAAGCTCCATCATCTCAACATAGAGCTGATACATGTGCTGCTGGCCATCTTGGGGATCATTTGTGGGAAGGTCTGGTCGCAGCGAGGGTGGGTGGTCTTCTTTCCACATGCGAAGCTTCTCCTCGAGAGTATCGACAACATCGACATAGGTGGTAGGATCGCGCTTGACGCTGTAAATATTGGTGTACATCTCGATCAGCAGAGGAATGATGCGAAACCCAGCGAGTCCAGGATGGAATTCGCACTGCGATGTGCTAGAGCTAGCAAGCAGTCCATCCGGGGTGAGCAGCTCATCCGCTACAGGCTCGGGAAACTCAATGTCGTACTCGTCAACGGTGATTGGCATGGGTCGCCCTAGTCGTCCGGCTAGGGTGACACAAACAGCAAGAATCGTCCACCACGTCCGCTTGCGAATCTCCAGGTCCAGATTTGTCGTCTCGCCCTCCTGCTTGACAGCCCGGTGGAGGTTCATGTCAACAGCCCGCAGAAACGCATAGTGGGCTACAACAAAACCGCAACCTGGTTTGGGGAAGCTGCGGCCATGAGCAGCAATCATGGCCATGGCTTGGACGGCAGATATGGTCTGTGACGACGCCAGGTCGAAAAACTTTCCCAGCGCGAAGTGGTAGTGACGATTGGACAGCTCATTGTAGTCCACGGCTCCTGGAGGTGCGCGAAGAGACTGCTGATAGTAAATTGAAGCGACGACCATGTGCACCATGACCAGTTCTGCCACAGTCGGCTGGAAACTCGGGTCGTCGTATATTTTGGCCAGCATTTCCAGATACGTTGGTTTGTGTAAGACGGGGAGGAACGGAAAGACAAAAACAAAGTACCACTGAGATAGTTCAAAAGCTTCCGCGCGTGAAGGCAACTTCACATGCGGCGGGGGATTGATGTTCATCGTTGACTGCAAGTAGGCCTGGATGGACTTGTTGTAAAGAGGTTGCGCGACTCTTACGTCGGGACCTGGTTCGTCCATATCAGGTGCGTTGAACGACGCCAAGTCAATTGTTGTCCCCAGTATAGTAAGTTTGGTCCCCTTGATGGCATTCATGGGTGCAATGTCAGGGCCGACACCGATGTGGATGTCGGCCGGCCGAGACTCGAGAGCTGAGCGTGCCGAATTCTTGAGCCTCGTGGCGATGACGGCCGGTTCGGCCTTGTAGTTCTTGACCCATACAGACCGTATCTGGGTCCATTGCCCCTTGACCTCGTCCGTCTCGACAGCCTGGCCCATATGATTGAGCGTCACGCCAGGCGGGCCGTTCATGGTTGGGTATTTGGACCAAGTCCAAGGTTGCACTTGGATGCCATTGTCGGCCAACAG